AGTCAAGGGCAAGGAGGGTATCATTACTAAGACCAGTCTGATGCTCGGTCTTGGCGAGCAAGAGCACGAGGTTATGGCCGCGCTTGAGGGTAAGAAGCCAGTCTTTTTGAAATGAACTCAGCTAACAGTTGTAGACCTTCGTAAGGCCGACGTCGATGTCGTCACCTTTGGCCAGTACATGCGACCAACCAAGCGTCACCTCAAGGTCGAAAAGTACGTCACCCCTGACGAATTCGAGATGTGGAACAAGAGGGCTCTGGATATGGGCTTCCTGTACTGCGCCAGCGGACCTCTGGTGCGCTCCTCATACAAGGCCGGAGAGGCTTTTATCGAGAACGTCCTCCGCAAGCGTTCGGGCGAGAAGGCCATGGCTAGGGGAACCCTTGCCAAGGCTGTTGCACTGGACTCGGAGACTCGATCGTCCATCTAGGGCTACTTTCATTATAAAATTACACTACATAATCACGGGTTATGACCACGCGGTGGCCGCATCGGATGGCGTTCATTGGATAGGGGGGTTGTCTTCAACTAGAAAAGCACGGCCTTCAACAAGGCTGGGTGTCACATACTCAACACAATCACTTGCCCGGAATGGGTTCATCAACTTCATCTCGATTTCTTCATTCTCAGTGAGCGTCTGCCGGATACGCGTCATCATTGTGCTGAAGGTGTCCATGCTACACTTACACTGTCCCCTGAGTTGAGGGGTTCGCAGATTGACGGTGATCTGGTGGAGGTGCACAAAACCGTTGCTCGAATAGGTTGAGAAACAGTACCACTGCATGTGACTCTTTCATCTGACAGAGAGAAATACAAGATGGATAAAGAGAAGAGTTCCATTGCCGTGATTGAGGGGATTTCCAGGTCGTTTCAATGCTGGTGCCCAAGGAAGGTACAGGTCGCTCCCACGACTACATTCTAGGAAGGAGCATCAACCCGCGCTTGCCTCAAGCATCAACTCAACTCGAAAGCACCTGGCATCTGCACATTTTCTATAATATTTTCCAACCTCACTCTCCAAGCTGACTTTTCCTCCTTTCGACCTACCCCTCTTTCTACCCTCTCTCATCTTCGTCCTTCGTTATGAAGCTCAAGGCGGCTCTCGCCCTTGCTCTTGCGGGCACGGCGCACGGAAGATACTGGCTCGAAGATATCCCACACCTCGGAACCGCTCCATACTACCCGGACAAGCTATACCAAGTCTTTCGCAACGTGAAAGACTATGGCGCTGTCGGCGATGGAGGTGTGTGCCCCTGGTGCTGTTCAGGTTCTGGCTTACAGCGTATCTAGTTGCCGACGACACGGCGGCGATAAATGCTGCCATCAGCGCAGGCGTTCGATGTATCTCAGGAGTTTGCAAGGGGAGCACGATCTCGCCAGCGCTCGTCTACATTCCTTCAGGGTAAGTTGCTCGAGGAAGTATTCCAGCATGCTGTTGACTTGGATAGAACCTACCTGATCAGCAACTCCATCATCGATCTATACTATACCCAGATTGTCGGCGATCCTAACGACCGACCGATCATCAAGGCGTCTCCCGCCTTCTCCAAGGAAAGCTTTGGTCTGATCGATGCGAACCCATATCTGTGGAACGGCGCTCTATCCTGGAACTCTACAAATGTCTTCTTTCGACAGATCCGCAACTTGATCCTGGACACCACAGCGCTCCCTCCCGAGTTCCCAGCTGTTGGCATTCATTGGCCCTCTTCCCAAGCAACATCCATCACCAATTGTGTGTTCAGGCTGTCGACTGTTCCGGGCAACGCTCACACTGGTCTGTTCATCGAAGAGGGATCCGGTGGCTTGTTGAACGATCTATACTTTTACGGCGGCGGCAATGCGACTGTTCTAGGAAATCAGCAGTTCACGGCACGCAATCTTTGGTTCTCCAATGCTGATGTTGCCGTTTGGATGACCTGGAACTGGGGATGGACCTTCAAGAGCACCGTATTCCAGAACTGCCGCGTCGGTATCAAGATGGACGATGTATCGAAAAGCGTTGGGTCCATCACGCTCCTTGACAGTTGGTTCGAGAACATCGACACTGCTATCTCGACAACACGTACCGACCCAGGCCCCGCAGGAAGCGCAGGGTCTCTGGCGATAGAGAATGTCAACTTTAAAAATGTCAACAAAGTCCTCGTTGGTCCTGAAGGCACCGATATGGTGAGTTCTATGATGAGGCCGGCAGCTGAATCTGTTTTTGTGATGGTGAGTACCGTCGAAGGAAGAACTTGGAGTAGGCTGACAGTATCAGGGACACTATGCCGACTCTCGGGGCATGTTTGATGCAACAGGCTACTACGCTCTACCATCGCCTCGGGCTGTTAGCCTTCTTGACCGCAATATCTATCTTGAGAGATCAAAGGTGAGTTGAGTATCTGTTTCAAGGCGCTGCTAACAGAAACAGCCCCAATATGAGCAGGTTCCAAGTATCTTTTTCGTTTCAGCCAAAGCCAACGGAGCTTACGGAGACGCCTCTCACGATGATACTCAAGCCCTCAACGCGCTATTCAATTACACAGCAGCCAGCGGACTCATTGCTTACCTCGATGCTGGATACTACATGGTCACCGACACCATCTATATACCTCCGAATGCCAAAATAGTGGGAGAGGCCCTTGCGTCGATCATCATGGGTACTGGACCCAACTTTCAAGACGTGGAAAACCCTCGGCCAGTTGTCCAAGTCGGTCGTCCAGGGGACGTTGGTCAAATTGAATGGTCCGACACCATTGTCTCAACCCGCGGCGCAACAGCAGGCGCCATTCTCATTCAGTACAATCTTTACAGCCCTGGTTTGCCATCCGGCATGTGGGATGTACACACTCGTATTGGCGGGTTTGCGGGAACATACCTCCAGGTTTCTGAATGTCCAGCTCTCAAAGCCACAGACACAGTCCAACCAAAGTGTGTGGCTGCATATATGAGTCTACACATCACAGCGTATGCTGGAGGCTTGTTCACAGAAAACTGTTGGTACTGGGTTGCTGATCATGACCTCGAAGATCAAAAGTACCAACGAGTTACCATCTATGCAGGACGGGGTGTACTCGTCGAAGCCCGGAGAGGTCGCATCTGGCTCAGCGCAACTGGATCCGAGCATCACGTTTTGTACCAATATCAACTCGTCAACACAAGGGACGTGTACATGGGCCACGTACAAACAGAGGAGGCATATTTCCAGCCTCGCCCCGTGGCCCAATACCCCTTCCCGCTTGTGCCCATCCTCAGCGACCCTGACTTTGGGGCAGACTGTCAGAATGACCCTGTTCCTGCGGGATGCAATATGGGATGGGGCATGAGAGTCATGAACTCCAGCAATGTGGTTATATATGGAGCGGGGCTTTACTCATTCTTCAACAACTACAACGACTCGTGTGCGAGCAACAAGTCTCCGGAATTTTGCCAGGAGAGGATCCTGAGTTTCGCGGGTTACAATGAGGGAACAAGAGTCCTTGGACTAAGCACGGTGGGTACCAGGATCATGTTGGAGCGCGATGGTGTAGATTGGGTTGAAGCGATACAGAACAACAGCACATTTGCCGACACATTGGCTCTGTATCAGTCATGAGTATTTAACTACCTATAATGTCCCCCGGCCAGGTAGGAAGCGCACACATAAGGTGTACATAGGGTATCAAGTGCCATACCAGTCATTTAACTAGAATCCCAAATTCCCCGTAAAGCAGTCAATGCAATGAAGACAGCCTCATCTGTTCTGATGGTCCTGCTGCCCTGGTTGGGCAAAACGTTGATCCAGTGATCAAACAGCTCCTTTGTCTTGGAGCCTTGAATGTCCATGCTGCTTAGTTCCTCATCATTCATAGATGCAAACTCGAGACCACGCGGGCCACCGAATACAATGAGCAAATGGTTGAAGTTGACCCGTTTGCCATGAGGAAACGCCCTGGAGGCTGGGACTCCACGCTCCGAAGTGCCAATGCTGATGTCATAGCCATTCTCGTACGGGCACTCAGTGAAGACGCCGGACAGAGAGTTGGCCTTCCGGACAGTGTAACCCCAGTAATAGCCACCCTCGGTTCTTGGAGCGGCTGGGTGAACTGGCTCGGGGTATTGGGTCTCGTCGTCGGGGAACTTGAGTGTGATCCTGGTCTTTGGGGGGATCTCTTCCTCAATCTCAACTGGCTGATCCAACCCCACTTCGACAAGAGTTCCAGAACCCGTGCTTGTCTGACCGGCAATCGTGACACCCTCGCGATACGAAACCCACTCCTTAGGATGGGGATGATGCGGCATGTCGAGACTGGGCAGCAGCGCGGTGAGACGCAGGTTGGGATGGAGAGGGAAGAGAGTCTTTCGCATAAAGGGCGGTGCCTCTAGGTAAGAAAGAATGTGGGTGAAGAAGTGGCATGGGTCGGTGTCTCCAGTGTAACTGTTCGGGTCCGTTTGGCGAGGTCGGGTAGAGAGGGGAGAATCGTCAAAGACGACGACTTCATCGACGGAGAAAACGGCGAGGGCACGAGCAATTCGACCTGGCTGGGTCATTCGCTGGTCGGCAGTAGCGAGACTGAATGGTCAGTAAAGAGATTGATACAAGAATTGAGATCATACTTTGTAAGGACGCTACTAGGAATTGCGATGGATACTGTCCATGGTCGGCCGCCATCCGTTGGGTTGAAGGTTGCGGATGGCTTGAAGGACGTTGTGTCCTGGCCATTGTGACCGGTTTTCCGCTTCTGCTGAAAGTTAGATATACAACGACACTGGTTTCTTTGATAATTGACTCACCTTGGACTTGCGCTCGTGAAAAGACATTTTGATGATGGTATCTAATCTATGGAGCTTTGTCCATGTTCAGTGAAGCTCAAAAAGTTATTGCATGGATCCGGCAGAATTTATCTGGGGTCATCTACCGCCTGCCCGATCTGGCTTCAGAGCACATGCCTGCCTGCGCTTGGTCAGCATCACGACCAACGGAGCGATACGGATGATCTGGCCTTCATCTTGAAACTCATTCAACAACAACCATCGCAACCATGAGCGGCCCTATTAGTATCGGTTCTGAATCGGAGTGGAGCAGCCTCCTCGCAGGCACAAATGTTGTCATCGCAGACTGTACGTCAACCCCCTTCGATGCCGCGCATCGTCACTAACACGCGCAAGTCTACGCCGACTGGTGTGGTCCCTGCAAGATGATCGCGCCGACCTTTGACAGCCTCGCCAAAGAACACTCGTCCCCTCGAAAGGTGGCCTTCGCCAAGGTCAACGTCGATAGCCAGGCGGGCATCGCGCGAACCCAAGGCGTCTCAGCCATGCCCACCTTCAAGATCTTCCACAACGGCAACTGCATCGAGACCATCCGAGGTGCCAACCCCCCGGCGCTGACGGCGGCCATCAACAACGCTGTCAAGCTCGGTGGCGCGACCAAACCCGGCGACGCATTCAAGACACCCGGCCGGACGCTGGGCGGAGATACAAAGTCGGCCTCACTGGCCAGACGGTGGAGCCTGAAGAAGCTTATGGATATGTTTATTACATTCTTCGGACTGTACTTTGTGTCCCTATTCTCGGTACGTTACTAGAAGGAACTGCAGGACGAGGGTGAGTTACTAACAGGCTTCCAGCTCGATTCATACAAAGCGGCCGAGAAGAGCGTGTTCAACCTATACCGTCAACCCACAGTTTCGAGTGGAGGGACAGTGGGTGGAGCGTCGAGGCCTGGTCCTCCAAGGTCTACATTCAAGACTTTGGCAGATATTGGTAGTGATTAAGCGATGAGCATGGCGTTGGCAAAGGTTTCATTCATGGGCGTAATAATTATATCGATAGTCAAAGGCATTAGATCAACACTGATTTATAAACCATCATTCCGGAGCTTCCATACTCTGTCCTGACTTCTTCTGTATGAGCCTGCTCATGAGTGCGGCCATCATGATTACCACTTACATCACGTGACTACGCGTAGCGGCGAAAAAGTTCCAGACGAGCTTCCAACCTCAACCATCAACCCCAAAACTTGTACAATACAGAAAATGTTGTCAGCAAGGGGCATCCGGAATGCCTGTCCGAGGTGTAGTGTTTCTTCTTCATTAGTTTCGACTCGTTTTTACACCCATTCCGCTCCTTCCCTACGATTACGACGAATTTCTCCCCTCCAAGCATCCCAGTCCAATAAGAGCACAGCAATTACACAGGCTTTTTCGACTTCAAGATGTTTGCGACAAGAGGCGGTGGCCCCGCGCGCATCGCCGGAGGAGATTGAGCAGGTTGTCCGAGATGCGAAGCAGCGATTCAGAGATACCTTGCCAAAGGGATATCTCAATGACGAAGAATATGCCCTCTACGAACGATTGTACGGTGCACCCTTGCGAGAGACTAGGCCCGAAGATGTTGGTATTCCAGAGCACGCCGACATGGGGCCCGAGCCCCCACGACCGGATAATGAGGGTACTATACTGCGGGAGATTGAGGGAGGCGAATTTGAGGAGATCGTCTATCAAATTCCCCGTGAGGAGGGAGCGGAAGACGAGATCGTGGACGAGATCGTGGAAGAGTCTGACGAGGAGCTGCCGCAATCCGAGCTAGCAGACTTGGCCATGGAAGAGTCACTACATGAACCTCCAGGGTATGTCGACCTAGTGGCAAGGAATCAACGAGAGTACGATGCGATGCAAAAATTGGCCAAGGATTTCGAAGAGACCCGACGACAACAACAAGAGGCAGAGGATAAAGTAGCGGCAGAGGAGGAGGAGCTTGCAGAGCATCTGGCGGAGGCAGAGGAAACACCTCAGTGGCCAGAGGAGCAATGGAGGGAGAGAGTGTCTGGTGAAACTCTTCGATTCCACCCTCTTTCCATTGAGGGTCGATTCCATGGCAGTCCCGTTGAGATTTCTCTCCCGCGGGACGAGCTGATCATGCCTATCCGAGACCTTTTGCAGCGAACACACATTGACCATGTCAAGAGCGCAGCTGAAGATGCATTTGGTGGCGCTGGTCTGCCTTTATCTCCTGCGACGCCCGAAGGCAAGAGGAATGGCGGGCAGAGAGCTGCTGGCATTCACGCAGATTCCCGACACATGACCGAGATCGAGGCGGATGCTTTCATTGCAGGTTTCTTGCCACCTGCCTATGCCTCCGTTGCGGCTACACTACGAGAGGTCCGGAAGCGAGTTGGAAGTGAGTGGCTTCAGTCCAAGCTCAAGGACGGCACCGGCCTTAGTGTTCTCGACGCGGGATCCGGTGGTGCTGGCTTGATCGCTTGGGATGAGATTGTGCGAGCAGAGTGGGATCTGCTAATTGAGAATGGCCAAGTCAAGGGATCTGATCCTCCTGGCAAGCGAACAGTCGTGGTTGGATCAGATCGTCTACGACATCGCGCCAAGACTTTCCTACACAACACCACATTTCTTCCTCGACTGCCTGATTATGAACATTCAGGAGAGATGCGTGGCCAGCATCTGGATGCAGGAGACAAGCCGCAGGCTCGAAAGAGCTACGATGTCATCATTGCGTCTCACCTCTTCCTCAAGGAGCAGCAGGATCACTACCGACAGGCTATCCTCAACAACCTCTGGAGTCTACTGAAGAAGGATGGTGGTGTCCTGATTGTTCTGGAAAAGGCTCACCCTCGGGGCTTCGAGGCTGTGGCTCATGTTCGTGACACAGTTCTGAAGCAGTTCCTTCTCCCTCAGTCGGGACAGTCTGAGGTTTCCCCTGAGGACTTCAACCCGGCTTATCAGCGCGAGAAAGAGCCTGGACACGTCATTGCTCCTTGCACCAACCAAGGAGTGTGTCCCATGTACCAGGCCACTGGCAAGAGTACTGGCCGAAAGGATTTCTGCCACTTTAACCAGCGATTCGTGCGACCTACATTTTACACTCGCATGCTCGGAAACAGCCAGGACAACCAGGGCGAGGTTGAGTTTAGCTATGTTGCTCTCAGACGTGGCGTGGCCAAGGAGAGCCCCTGGACTGGTAAGCAGGCGACAGAGGAGGCTTTCAAGGGATATGAACACTCAGAAACAAAGCCCGATATGCAGACGCTACCGCGAACAATCCTGCCTCCCCTGAAGCGCAAGGGTCACGTCACTCTGGACCTGTGTACCCCTGAAGGCAAGTTTGAGAGATGGACGGTGCCCAAGAGCTTCGGCAAGGCGGCATACCACGACGCCCGCAAGGCACGATGGGGAGATCTTTGGGCGCTTGGAGCCAAGACGCGAGTTCTCCGACAGGTCCGGGCGGGCAAGGGACATGACGACGGCGGCAAGCGAGCGGGAGAGGGCAAGAAGCCCAGAAGAGTCGAAATCGTCATGGGTCCCGGGGGCATCAGTGCGAACGAAAAGAATGCACCCCGAGAGCGACGCGGCAAGAACAAGCAGGACAAGAAGAGCCGGTTGCTCAAGGAGATCCTGGAAGCGGAGGAGGAAGAGGAGAAAATGATTGCCAAGCAGATGGATGAGGAGGTGGAAGCTGAGCTAGAGGAGGATAGCAAGAAGGGGCGTTGAGAAAATGTATCACCAATGTAAAAGTAAAATGTACAAAATGGGGGCATCAGGTTGGGGTATGACATGAGGCGTTGGATATCATGATAGATCTCAACACAAGCACAACACAATGTAACGACATACTTTTGGACCTTGTTTTCATCCCATCTCAAGTATTCTCGAGACTAGATGCCGGCGCCGTTGTGGGTCCCCCCCCCCGGACACTACCAAAATTTTCCTCCCGGGTCCGGGATGCGATCTTGAGCGGGTTGTGCCTCCTACTCCCACCACATTCGAGCCACGCCCGGTTAGCTCAATCGGTAGAGCGTGAGACTCTTAGAAATACCATCTGATGGTATCGAGTACGCGATCTCAAGGTTGCGGGTTCGACCCCCGCATCGGGCTGTTCCTATAATTCGATTGCGAGCAAATTGCGAGGCTTTCTCTTTTTGCTGTGGTGTTGTGTGGTGTGGTGTTAAGGTGGCCACGTGATGTAAATACCAAGATCACGTGATGATTCTCTTTTTGTCCCCTGTCATTCCATCATTCTGTGTCCCCCGTAACCGACAGCTCATCATCCCAATGCTAGGGTCAATCACGAATTTGACATCTCCTATCTTTCAGCCGCTATCATCACGTTATCATGGTTCATGCATCTCCGATTGCGGGCCGCGGAAGTCGGCGATTGCGTCTTTTTGCGGCAGAAATTCTTTTCTTCCTCTGCGGCCGCCCGACAGGCCGATAACGCCACGAGGGACAAACGCCCCGCGGAGACTGAATGGCGTCAGTTTGTGCCAATCAGAAGAGGTTGATTTGGGTTGGAGGTGACCCGACTTGGAGGGGTAGAGGGGCACCTTTCAATGGGCAAGGGTCTTTTTTTTTTATTGTGGTTGTCGTGGGATGTGTTACTTGGGGAGCTTGTTTATAAGCCGGACAAGTCTCGCAATTACGGCGTTGGATGGTTTTTGGAGGTGTCTTTTGACTTTTTGGCTCTTGTCTTTGACTGATTCATTTCAGCTGGTTGATTCAATATTTCCCAGTTTGGGGTCTCGTCATCAAAATGGCGACAGCTTCACCCACTTCGCTACTCGCCGCTCTCAACTGCAGAGACAACATCCACCTCGTGATCGGAACAAACCCTCTCGCAGCTACTCGATGTGGCCAGTCACTCAATGCTGGAGCGCGACCTATCTTGATTGCCCCTGAGGGTGCAGAGCTTCACTATGCTCTGCAAAAGAGGATAGATGAGGGTCTTGTTCAGTGGCACAAGAAGACCTTTGAGGATGCCGATTTGCTGCGACTTGGTCGCGAGGAGGTTGACGGTGTTGTCGATGCCGTCTTTGTTACTTCGGGGCCTCGAGATCCCTCCAGTAAGTCTTTCACGACAAATAAACATTAATTGAGGCTGACAGTCCAGGTCTTCACATCGCCGCCCTTTGCAAGCGAAACCGCATCCCCGTAAACGTCGTCGACGCTCCCCAGCTCTGCACATTCTCCCTCCTCTCAACACACTCGGACGGTCCCCTCCAGATCGGCGTCACAACAAATGGTCGCGGCTGTAAGCTAGCCTCGCGCATCCGTCGTGACATTGCTGCTTCTCTTCCCGCCGACCTCGGCGCAGCCTGCTCACGTCTAGGTGATGTGCGCCGGCGCATCCACCAGGAGGACGCACTCGGTGCTCAAGACGATCCTGCCTCCCTCGATGACTCTTTCGATCAGACAGCTCAGTTTAACAAGCTCGTCACAGATGAAGATGCCAAGAATAGAAGAGTGCGCTGGTTGAGCCAAGTTTGTGAATATTGGCCTCTTAAGCGACTGGCCGCCATCACAGACGACGATGTTGAGGTCATCCTCAAGTCATACCCCGGAAACGGCCTCGATATCAAGCGGGACCCCGGTACTCCGGAGAAGCGCATCGGTACCATCATCCTGGCCGGCAGCGGACCCGGTCACCCAGACCTCCTCACCCAGGCCACTCACAAGGCCATCAAGTCTGCCGACCTCATCCTCGCCGACAAGCTCGTGCCTTCTGGTGTCCTCGATCTTATCCCTCGCCGTACTCCCGTTCAGATTGCCCGCAAGTTCCCCGGCAACGCCGACCGTGCCCAAGAGGAGCTGCTCGAGATGGCCCTTGCCGGCGTGCGCGAGGGCAAGACTGTCCTCCGCCTCAAGCAGGGCGATCCTTACGTCTACGGCCGCGGTGGTGAGGAAGTGGCATACTTCCGCCAGCATGGTCTTGGTGATCGCGTCTCTGTTCTCCCTGGTGTCACCAGTGCCCTGAGCGCACCCCTCTTTGCTGCTATCCCTCCTACACAGCGCGATGTCGCTGACCAAGTCCTCATTTGCACTGGTACCGGAAAGAAGGGCAAGCCCCCTGCGCCACCAGAGTATGTGGCTAGCCGTACCGTAGTCTTCCTGATGGCTCTCCACCGCATCAACGGTCTTATCCGTGAACTCACCACTCACATCGAGCTTGAGCCTCTTGCACCCGCCAATGAAGAAGCCGTCTCAGCCCAGCCTCCTCCTCCCCCAGAACCATCTCAAGTGTCCCCAGTAACGGGCGAGAGCAAGCGTACTCTCTGGCCGCGCAACACACCCTGTGCTGTCATTGAGCGAGCCAGCTGTCCAGACCAGCGAGTCATCCGAACAACACTCCAGCACGTCGCTGAAGCTATTGAGACTGAGGGCAGTCGACCACCTGGTTTGTTGGTAGTCGGAAGAGCCTGCGAGGCCCTGTTCACGCCGGAAAAGGGCCGCGCCTGGGTTGTCGAGGAGGGATTCAGGGGTATGGAGCTGGAGGATTTCACTGTTGGTCTTGAGGCATTGCAAGCATGAAACTGTTGTTTACTGGATTATAAAAATGCGGAGTTTGGGCATAGCGTACGGTAGCATTGCTGGAGTTTGATAGAATTGAAGCCCTGTTTTTGGCAAAGAGCCTTGGTAATCCATGTTGGTATCCTACCTTGTCACGATACTCGAGTACGCTTGGCGTCAGGTGCAGCGCTCTCTCAACGGATCACGACAAGGGACATTAGTTGTGCCCTCATTCTCAGGGCAGGAGGAGTATTCTCCGAGTCAAATCCAACGCCAACTCACCCAATAGATATTATACAAGATGAAAGCACACTCGATAGCACAATCTCCCATGTGAAGCCCAGCCCGTCTCCAGGAGCATCCACTCACATTACTCGACGTCGTTGAGGCTCCGGCTCGTCCGCCGTAGATGTAGCACGCCTCCTCGTCCCTGCCACACCCGCAGGCGCTGCATGTTGGGCATAACCCTCCAAGAGTATCAGCTCGCGATACTTTTCATCACCCAGACACCCCCGCATGGCCTCGTTCCGAAACGGCGCCACGAGACTGTTGAGCTGCTGATACGCGTCTTGCCACTTTTTTACCTTGAGCTGATGCTCCCCTCCTGTCTTGGTCACGACCAAGGTGTAAGGCGACCTGGTTTGGGTTGTCTCTATCCTGAAGGAATAGGTATCACCCAGTAGTATCTCCTCAATGTGCTTTCGACGCTTTTGGGAGGCAGGAAACTCCCAGGTCTGCATAACAGGAGACGCGAGAAACGTCCTCAACTCCCAACAATCAGAACACGCACAGCCACGCGCATCATAAGTCCAGCCATTTGGCTCAGCGGGGAACGGAGGCACGGTAGTACGGATGAAATCCCGTATCAAGAGTTCAACAAGTTCTCCAAACTCTGGCACTGGCACAGCCTCTCCTCTTTCAAACAACCCAGCCAGATGTTTGACGAGACCTTCCATGATGGCGCGTGATCGGCCGATGTTGCGAGGCCATGAATGCCGTGACTTGGCCAGACCCGCAGAGGTCGCTGCGAGCAGGTTCGAAGCCTCTTGGGATAATTCGCCAATGTGACAGTCTCGGATGCACCCCACAAAGGGGAGGAGGACGGGTTCAGGGGTTCCCCCATTGTAGCCAAAGTCCTTGATCCGGACTATGAGCTTGTCAAAACCGTGCTGAATAATGGTTCGACACATGGCGCCTGCGTTCAGGAACCCGGGATCACTGCTATGTAGCCACAGAGCACGCAGAAGATTAAACAAGAACGGCCTGCCAGCATGTGCAGCGATGTTGGGAAGAAACCTACCCAAAGTTAGTCAACTCTGGTCCGAACATACTTGAGACGAAACTAACCGGTTCAAAATCCAGTCCGGCTTCTCAGATCGTTCTCTGATCCAGTCGAGGGCCAGGCTACAATCGAAAGAGTCCCATTTCTGTTCCGTCTCCATCTTCAAGTCCGACACATCCAACACCCATGCATCAAGGGACTGGGCTAGAGCCACATTCTCAATACAAAACTTGAGACTGGCACAGCTCTGTCGGAAATCTTGGAAACTCCGTTCTGTCAGGGGGCCGAGCCTGGGGATCATCAGTTAGCTAAATAGCCACATAATGGCCAGCACGTAGATACACCTACCAGTCGTTCCAATTGACAGTACTTCCCTTGTCAAGATACTCCTTAACCAAGTGTGGTTCAAACAGCTTGGCCACTTGCATTGAATCAAAGTTTGTTGCAAATGATGTAACAGCAAGAGTCTTGTTATATAGAGCCATGTCACCAGACTCCAAAGTCAATTCAATGATTCTTTCCACGGCCACGCCTCTCAGCATTTCACCGGCTCCGGAAAGCCTAGTCATCATGTCCAACAGGGCCTGCCTAGGCTTTGGATCATCTGGAAACCTCTCCATATCCACGGTAAGTATGTCGAGGACGTTTTCCACAGCCTCTTGGCTGAACCTTGTGCTGCTGTAGTAACCGACAGGTTTCCTGAAGTCGATCAAGTCAACGATGTTCTCCCTGGGGACAATAAGAGCAGCCGTGTCGTTGATTCGGCGAGAGTATTCCCCTTCCTCACAAGCCCACTCAGGGTGGTCCTCTATATCATCGCTATCAGGCTCGCGAAGCTCCAGGTTATATTGAGAGAAGCCCAGCATCTCCTTCTTCGCGCTGAAGCTGCCAGATATCGGTAAATCGTCGCCATCATGTGTGTAGACTGCGTCAATGGTGTGAGTCACGGCTGATACTTGACCGCAGTCCTCTGTTATCTCGTGGGTGACTTGTGCGAACAAAAAGTAACAACCCACTTCCGGACAAATGTCACTGAGAAACTGACAGACGGTTTGATCGTGGCCTTTTATTCCCTCGAGCGATGCGGGATGGTCTCGATGGACAAGTTGACATTCGCGCCCTGATGCTCTGATGGAAGGAAGATGACGAGCGTGCCAATGATATCGGTCGTATCCTCTCTAGGAGAGTCTTGTCTCGGGATTGGCCCTGGTCCGTATAGAGTCAAATATCGAGGCACAGACGAGACGCCTCCAACGTCGAGAGTCTTTGCGATATCACCTGCGACAATCTGCAAGAACCCGGGCCATGCTGGGTTGGTCAACTGGAACTGTGTAGGGTCCAACTCCCAAGCATTACCGATCGGGGCTTGTCGGCAGTGACTCTTGATATCCTGAGCCGCTTGCTCATTGAGAGGTAACGGAACGATGGGATTCCCTTCAATTTTCAAGCCTGGGTTGATGAACGACGGGTACTGTTTGAAGGTGGCGATGCCGCCTATCTGTTGGATGTTGCTCAACGACTCAAAAAGCCTTCTTTTCCATTCGCCCACAGACACTCGAGGAGCTTCAGAGTCGCTATCATCAGGGATTTCGATGATAGTAGGTGGACCTGGCATGATGGTTTTGATGAGGGAGACGCGTCATGAATGATGTCGAGTCGAGGTGGTTTCTCCGCTCCTGATCGGACGCGACGCGTCGTAATTAATTGGTTAATTGGTGGCGGCTTAATTCAGCCAATTCTGGAGTGAACGCGATCTCGAAAAAGCAAAGAGGATGGAGGTTCACTTCAGGGATCATGATGATGCATATTTAGCATACTCTTATGCACGTCGCACCTGTAACAAGATAACAAATGACGCCAGCCTGTAGTTTATTCAGTTTGCATGCATTCATCATCGCCTTAATGGTGAAGCTCAAATGTGGAGAGGAGACGTAGATGCTTGGCTTTCGAACCACTTCCCTTCTCTTTCAATTAATTGAGAGAGAAACAAGTCCCTACCTACTTAAGGAACCGGTTCGTGCCTTCTTATTAATCGTTTCTTTTCCCATGCAAAGAGTCCATCAGGGTGCTTTGCGTCATAGCGCGTCCAGATACTCGAAACCATCACTCACTCTACTAAACCACCACACCTCAAAGCCACGATACTCTTTTACACAATCCCCATTTCCCAAAAAAAAAAAAAAAAAAAAAAAAAAGCCCACGGTCCTGCAGTGACTATCTGTCGGAATTGAGACATTCCATAGCACAGCTACACAAGCACGGCTCCAAACCAGCTGACTCATCAGCCCCATCCTGCAAATCTCCGTTTTCGCAAATCTCGGTGAAGCATCATGTTGATACACCTCCACTTCGCGGATGAAATGGCCGACCCTTTATCACGGCGAGCGACTGAGGCGGTGGGCGGGCTAGATCTTCCGTGGAGGTTTGCGCCGAGAGGAGATTACCACCCGGACAACAACCCAGAGGGTTTGATATCCTTTGCTACAGCTGAGAATGCATGGGATCCTCTTCTTGGTAACAAGCACCAAGTACTAACACTTTTCAGGCTCTGGTAACACAAGAGTTGAAGCAATTCGTCGATGAAAATGTACGAGAAGCCCCATACAAAAGCTCCCACCCCAATGGCTCCTCCACACCACGAAACCCTGACTTATGGCCTAGGTCACCTTCTCCCTCGATGACTTTCTCTACCGCGGCAGCCATGCAGGAGGTCCACGTTTCCCCAAAGCCCTGGCTGTCCACCTCAACGAGTATCTTCAGCCACACGACCCCATCACACCGGACATGATCCAGGTCGTCGGAGCCGCTACTGCAATGCATGATATCCTCGCGTGGGGAGTTGCGGATCCCTATGATGGTGTCTTGACTAGCAGGCCCGTCTACGGCCGCTTTGAACTTGATTTCGGCAACAAGTCTCAAGTGAGGGTCGTATACGCCTCCACAGAAGCCGAGAACTCTTTCCAGGATGAGGTTGTCGAAAAGTTTGAGGAGGCCTTGATCCGGTCCAGAAAGGCTGGCATCAACGTGAAAATGCTGTTGATTGTTAACCCACACAACCCGCTGGGTAAGTAAGCCGGTCCCTTTTAGTGCAGACTAACACTTTTCAGGGAGATGCTACCCTCGTTCTACCCTCATCAAGATCATGCAGTTTTGCCAGAAGCATCAACTGCAACTCCTGAGCGACGAAATTTATGCCTGCTCCGTCTTTGACTCGGGAGAGGCTGCCGTCCCTTTCACCTCAATCTTGTCTATCGACTCATCGGGTCTTATCGAACCAGACCTTCTTCATGTGACGTACGGTCTTAGCAAAGACTTTGGAGCAGCTGGTCTGCGTGTCGGAGCCATCATCACTCGTAGCAAGCCTGTCCTTCGAGCCATCGAGGCTGCCATGCGTTTTCACAACCCCTCTGGAGCCAGTCTCGCTATCGGGAGTGCCATGCTTGAGAACAGGGAGTGGTGTCGTGCCTTTATCAGTGGTTCAAGAACCAAGCTTGCTCAGGCGTACAAACACGTCACCAAGGGGCTTACGGACATTGGCATACGATATCTGCCTGGCAGCAATGCGGGATTCTTTGTCTGGATCGATTTGTCCCCATATCTTCCGTCGGAGCTGGGCGGCGAAAAGACTCGCGAGTTCGCTCTGGCTAAGAAGCTAAAAGAAGAGGGTGTGTTCCTGCACCCCTGCGAAGAACATTCGGCTCATCCTGGGTGGTTTCGACTAGTGTATTCGCAAGATGCGAGAATAGTAACGGAAGGACTCGAGAGGTGCGTTTTCTCTAAAAATGTCGACGTAACTAATGTTTTGCAGGATCAAGAGAGCAATCTCTTAGCTGATATTGATGGGTGGCGGTTGGATAGAGAGAATCAACTTCGTCAGTGGCGGAACCATCCTAGGACCAGAAATTTCAAAGAGTCAGTCCAAAGCATGAGATATTTGTGTAACCTTGAATATAAGGGATCAGCTTTCACAATACGAGGTGCATGTGCCAAGGAGTCGATGCCAAGACTGAAATCAAACTTGTTTCAAGCATATTTTAACGACTTTTGATGCAAACTCGACCGCCATTCCTCAACCAATCACTGGCTAATGGCGTCCTCAAACCTCTTGCCCGTCAACATGAGGAAGGCCTCCCGGTATCGGTCTGAGGTAGCCTGGACAATCTCTTCGGGCAGTGACACGCCATCCTTGCCCTTCAGCCCCTCCTTGATCAGCCAGTTGCGGATAAACTGCTTGTCGAAGCTGTCCTGATCACGGCCAGGCATGTAGCCCGCGGCGGGCCAGAATCGGGATGAATCAGGGGTCAAAACCTCATCAACGAGGTAGATGTTTCCCTCGGCGTCCTTGGCAAATTCAAACTTGGTGTCAGCGAGGATGATGCCTCGCTCCTCGGCGTACTTGGATGCCTCTTCGTAAATCTTGAGCGACAGCTCCTTGACACGGTCAGCAGTCTCGCGGTCGCCGACCTCCTTCCAGGCATCATCAGGGTGGATGTTCTCGTCGTGCTCTCCGGCATCGGCCTTGGTGCTAGGCGTCCAGAGAGGCTGCTTGAACTTCTGGGCCTCCTCCATGCCTGGCTCGACAGTGATACCATGCACAGTTCCGCTCTTCTTGTACTCCTTAAAGGCAGATCCCGTAAGGTAGCCTCGCCTGCAATTGTCAGCCCCTGTGACGAGGGTAAGAAAGAGGAGCGAGCAAGGTCGATTGCTCGCTATTACACCACCAGTAACACAATGCTCCTCGGGACTCATCAAACAAACAAATGGAAACCTACACAATGCTCTCCAGCTTCACGACCTGCAGGCGGCGCACCTGCATGGAGCGGTCCTTGATAGCCTTGGCCTCTTCGGTGGTGACGCCGGCGGGAACGTCGAGGGTGATGAAGTGAGTGCGCAGGTCGGGGATGCGTTCTGTCAAGACCTTGAACCAATGTGCCGAGATGATGTTTAGAATCTTGCCCTTGTCAGGGATGCCATTCTTCATGACGACGTCAAAGGCCGAGACTCGGTCACTGGCGACGAAGAGGAGGGTATCGGCATCGGGGAGCTTGAACAGATCGCGCACCTTTCCGGAGGCGATCTTTTCGAGGGAGGACACTTGGATCTGAGTCTGAGCCATTGTAACGAATTGCTGTGCTGCTGAGATGCGGCGTGATGTGACACTTCAAAAAGGTGACAGTGATGAAATCGTGAGGAGAAAAATTTAGCCGGCCAGTTGGAAGCAGCAGAGATAAAAAGCTTCTCCACTGAGTCATCGCCGTTTCCCTCTCCATTTTACCCAACTCTTTTCTTCCCCCGGAAGAGAGATGATGCCTCCATCTTGAAATGCCTCACGGATTTTTGAAATGGTTTGACTTGACTCGGGGAAGACAGGTTCGAATTGACAGGGTAAGGATGTTGCACCGTGCGAAGCAGTGTTGTGTATACTCTTGGCACGGTGGGTTCTGCAGGCACACATGCGCCGCCCACTCTCAAAATGGCAGAAAGGATGCATGTTGCAGCCTAATTATGAGCAAACTAGAAGACAAATAAGAGTATAATCATTTTCTAATACCATTAGGTTATTTATGATGATTTTATTAGAGTTCTTGGGCATTAGATCTACTCTTTTTACCTTGACATCTAGAGGGGTTCGAGGACGGTGCCATCCATGGCAAGACGATACCCAGCGTCATATAAGACGATTTCCCTGTTGGAGGACGCTTGCTGGATCGCCTTGAGTCCAGCATAGCGCATCTCTATTGTATCCTTTGACCACTCAGCGCAAGAGTCGGACAGGCGAAGGTACTTGAAAAGGGGGTCAAGAACGGCATCCTGAAGTTCCTTTGAAAGGCCGTATGTGTTCATACAATTGACCCATTCATCGTCATCTTCCGAGTAGGTATTGAAAGAGAATGAAATATAACCACAGATAAAGTCCAGGAATGTGACTTGAAGCCCGCTATCTTCAGGGTCGGTTTCGCGGCGTGGCCCGGTCGAAGGCCAGTTGTTCCAGGAGCTCCAAATCTCATTAGCTTTTGTCTTTGAGAAGCCAACATATTCAATTGTGGCTTGTGAGATGAGCTGACCGGGGATAGAGACAAATATGTTGCTTGTTGCCTGGGATACAGCAACATCAAGTGGTAGATGGCCATACTCCTGTTCACTGAATCGAGTAAGTCGGCGTTTATGAATCTTCCTCATACCGCCCGCATCAACAGGCCCGATGAGCCCTTTACTCATTAGATGAGCAGCATCAAGAGGCGCAAGAATGCTGGTTCTGGAAATATGTTCTGACATGTTGAAGTGGTGCCGATTCGGTATTGGATAACAGTTGTTGGGAAGAAAAAGAAGAGAAGACGGAGAGCAAATTTTAGAGAAAAGACTGATAATTAAAGAACTGAGAAACATTGATTTTACTACTGAGTTTTAAAACCGGCGTGTGTGAATCACTGCCGAGTGTTGGGTTATGCACAACTAAAGTTTCCGTACGGGAGTGTCCGAATGTGGTCATCTTCCATCCAGTCTTTTTAATATTCCATTTAGGATAGCTATAGGCCTAACCTTAGTAGATCTTCCTCACCATTTCTCGAAATTTTTATGCGATAGTATTCCTAGAAGAAGAGTGGATAATCTAAAGCACGACAAAATCTCCCCTCAATCTCAGACAACGTCAGCGGTTGGAGGTGGTGAGGGAACTGTTGTTAAACACAGACTTGGATGTATCAAGTCTTGTTCAGTTCAGGTAAATCTCTAGGAGAAATAACGCGTCAGGACGTTTCGTTTTAGCCAACGAGTACCTCACCACTTTGGGGCGCCTGGACAGAGCACAAATCAACGTGCATGAGAAGTTTACAGGTTTCACAGAGTTTCAGCGACACAAATGATACTTTTCTTGTACATCGAGACGTAAAAACTCTATCGAGTTTGTTGGAATATTGTCGGGAATAGAGAGAAGGGCAGGTTAAGCGTAGGAACTGTCTGATCACCAGCCAATGCTAGTACACCATGCCCATCTAGAGGCACCGGAGGGGCAAACACCATGCCTATCCTGTGATCAACCTATCAGTGCAAACCCATTTGCAAATTCCAAGTCCGAACCGGAAGAATCAAGACCCTTGCCAGACCGCCATACTACGTAGCAATATCCACAACAAAGGGTGCAAGAACAGGGCGGGAACCTGGGTTCGGGGAATGCCCTTCGACTTGGCATCAAGGGAAGCATGTCACCCCTTTCCCCACGTCTCTGCTAACCTGATTCTGGCATCCCACCAGGCTCGGCAGAAATTAAAAGACCAATGCTCCGGAATTAAAGCCGGATCGTGTCTTAGATATCCGCGCTTCTTAGTCTAGTTCAAAGGGTCCTAAAGCCCCCCCCTGAGCCCAAATGCCGAGATCTATCGGACAAGTCTCAACCTTGGTATGACTAGATAGCATAATCACCGCCGTCGAGTTAATAGCTCAATTCGATGCCACCCTTTGGTCCGACGGTAGGGAGTGAGCTGCTGCATCTCTAGACAGTAGACACTAACCTCAGTTGACAATGCTGTGCAAGATTCATTCCCTTTGCCGTGGTCATGCTCTTCATAGTACCTCTTGAGTGTGGATAGCATCCACCTCCTAGCGTTTTTCTTGCTGTGGCTCCTGAATGGCGTTTCAGTCCTCCCGGTCCCTTTATCGGACCTCAGTATTTCAACATTCCCTCCATCCCTTTACTTTTACCTTTGAACTCTCATCATGACCATTCTGTAGCTACTGGCAGCTATGCGCCATCAATTCAACTGTCCGGCATTCGAGGTTGGTGGCATCGGCCCCGGCCCCGATACCGGTTTGGAGCGGAGTCGCCAATCAACGTCCACGGAAGCCTCCGGGCTTTTCAACGACCCTGTGGAGTGCCCGGGCTGGAGTGACAAAGACCTCGGCCGTTACTCGCCAGACTTGCTGCTTGATCCAAGACATTTGCTGTGCCGTTCAATCAAATACCCCGGCTAGCTCCGGCGCTATGCCGCTCATGTGGACCTTCAACGGCCATCCTGACCTTCACGCTCTGCCGCTTTGAAACTGGGGAAACGGTCATTATTTCCCATGTTGATCCACGGCCGAGTCCCTCTGCGGTCCATGCCCCGGGAGCTCTCGTGCCATGGCGGAGCCTCACGTCACTAGGGTCTTCGGGAGCATTGATGGGCAATCTGAGTTTTGATTTACATGGGTGGAAAAAGGGAAAGTGTTTCGTAGAGGATGCCATGCCATAAGAGGGCAAGCTGAAGCTTAACTCGATGGTAATTTCAGTTGATAGCCCTGCTCGTGCAGATGCATATTCAGCTCCAGCTCTGTGGGTAACGGAACCCACCCTCGGCACAGCAGGAAACAGACAGAGGCTATCAACACCATTCGAAACGATATCACGAATGGCCTGAATACGGTGGTCTATGTAGGCTGACATCACTGAGACGTATGCAGCTGCAATGCTCAATGCAGGACCGAACCGGCATCCAATCCAATGGCCTTATCTTCTCCAGTGACAGCACTCTCCGAGGCTGCCGGAGCTCGTGTAAACAAAGCACCGCGGCCCAGATAAAGGCAAACGCCGTCTTCACAGGCTGGCCTCATCAGTCTCGGTGAGTGGATGAGGTTTGTCGACGATCAAGATAGCGCCGTTGCTGGATTTCTAGGGCGGGCGCGCCATCAATGGCAGTAGACCGGTGACGAGCAAAGTGGGACTAAACGCAACGCCAACAAGAAAGGGCACGCCGGCATCATGACGGGAAAAAGTGACCTATGGCATGACTGCCGGCGCGAATTCGCGATCCATGCCAGATGTTCAACACTAGGGTTAAGTTGGACGCGTCTTAACCTCCGTCATAGCTCGGTTAGATCATGAGATTCGCCCTTGGACCACTTCCTAATACGCGGTCATGTCCATCTGATACCGCCCCCTGAATGACAGACCGTTTGCTCCTGGGTGGTCTTTGGTTTGGATTCCACATGCCAAGAGGTTGAGGTAGAGGTACTAGCCAAGGGCCTCTCCAGATGGACGTTTCCCAATACCCCTTTCTCTGACATGTTTGATGCAAACGCTAATGTTCGCAGTTTGATCTAAAGCATAACTACCTGTCTGCGAGTTCTAGATCAACGGAAAGCGACGGCATCACCATGATTGGCGGGGTTGGAACAAACTCGCAGGGCACGGATGCGTCATGGCAGGCCTCAAGAGCGGACAAGAACCGCCGTCGTTGACGTGGGAAGCTGGATGGCAATTCTATCGTCGACTTCTTTGAGACGATGTGCCTCGATGTTGAAGGGGCTTCATTTTGTATCAGCTGTAGGTTGACGACTTGGTGAGCTTGTAATCTCTGTATTCCTAGTTGTTGAGGGCATGTCAGCAAGGTATCCCAGGAGCATTACTGTCAAGACCTTGAAATGAAGAGAACCACTGTAGGAATAGGAGATCTGCCATTCCTGATCCCTCTATCAATGAACGTCTGGACATTTGGTGTGAGTGTTGTCAAGGCTGCTCAGGGTGGAAGATATACACGATGTAGGATGTAGTTAACCGTGACAGAGATCGAGAATATTCTCAAGCCAACCACCTATGACGATTTTGTCGAACGACAAGGAAGAAGATTCTAGCCGCGTCGAGGGATGCCTGCACAATGATGCGGTGTCGATTGGATCTCGGAACAATTCTCTCCCAGGGACTGGGTGGCCACGTTGGCCCCAGCTTGTCTCGCATCTCATCTGGGTTGACACGAGTGGACCAGCGGCGATACCTTTCCAATCAGGCAATTCGAAGGGCCAATAGTGGATATGTCGTCGGAGAATACGAGTCGGATTATCGGGACTTGTTGAGCCGTGGTCGTGGGTCGTGAACGGCGCGATGTGATGCTATGGGTAGGGCAGGGAGGAATGTGAAGCTTGGGGGCCGAGATGAGCACCACCAAGTCTTGGCAAAACAGAAATGAGGTTGGGAATGATGTCCTTTGCATGGAGCACAGCGTACAATGCAAGTAATGGATGGCGTGGGGGAAAAGGAGAAAGCGATCGATCAGATTACGGATCATGGAGGAGGGGGAAATGGTGCCTCAGCCAACCGGACCTCAGACGATGCAGAGTGGAGGAAGGCGAAGGCCGCGGTCCTGCTGTATTTCAAAAGAAAGGTGATGATGTACGGGGGCTCGTGTTATCACAAGGAAGGGGCAATATCACATGAGAAAAAGCAAAAGGAGGTAAATGATAGTCAAAGAACAAGCGGCCTAACAATATTATTCTTCTCATCCATCCATCACACAGCACCCATCACAATCAGCTAGCCCATGGCCGTGATAATTTCCAGGCTTTGAGCTCCGTGAAAACGCCTGGTGCCCCGTGGTTGGCCCCTCCCAACATCCCTGCCCCTTGCATCCTGTAACCACTAGAGTCTAGCGGCCGTCCCCGCGGCCAATAACTTGCAGTCTATTCGCCTTGTAACTGCCCTGGCCGCACTCTTTGCAGGGACGGAGCAGGTTCGCGCTTGTTCAACGTGCCTTCCCTCTCAGTGATGTACCCTCCCAGTCCCTCTGTCTGGTCCCTCTGGTCTCTCGTGCTTTCCACTTCTACTGGTAGTCCTCACCCATCCGTCAGTTGTCACTGCACCTTCCAAGTTTTCTGTGTTTTGCCTTGCGAGTTGATCAGATCTGGTCGTCTGCAGAGGAAGGCACAGCTCCCGACACACTTCCCTCAGCCATTGGACACACGTGTCGTCCTGTCATCCTGTCTTCTTCCCTCTTGTCTCCTCATCCTCTTGTGTTGTGCTGGTTTTCAACCCTCCATGTCTCGCCGTCCAAGGCCCGCATAGCCTGTACCCATACATACGCACACTGCAGCCAGCCAGCCAGCCATCCGTCCATCCATCCTTCCTTTCAGCTATTACAGTCCACCAACTGCAAGGCAAGAGACCAACATCTGTCCCGCTCAACGCCATCAATATCGCGGTGATGCCCGCCCGCCGCGGTCGCCCCAGGCCTCCCTCCCCCTCGCCCTTCTTCTCCCTGGTCTCCTGGCCTGACCTGGCCTAGGGCAGCGGTTTTCAGGCGCGCCTGCGCCCAATACCACACACGGACCCGCGTGCGCGTGACTGACCAAAGGAACCTTGGAAAGGGAGCTGGAACGCTATCAGAGTCAAAGGCAAAAGTGAGAGTCAAGAAGCAAGCTATATCTGCATTCGTAGCTGGGGAAGCTGCGCGCGATCGTCCTGATTAGCTGCCCGTTTCCCCCTCGCCTTGTCTCGCGGCAGGCAATCGCCTGACCTCGGTCGCTCGCCAGCCAGCCTCTGGCGGCGGTAGACGGCAGATCTCCTTTCCCCTTCTCTCCCAGTCCCAGTCCCAGTCCCAGTCCCAGCCCTGGAGACTTGTTCAGAGGCACAAGAGCCTCCCTAGTCCTGACCCGCTGCCGGCCGGCGTGTGCGTGCGTTCGCTTGCCCGCCTCCCGCTCCCGCTTCCGCTGCCGGCAAAAGCCACCCGTCAACACAACTCGAGACTAAGTCGAGCCTAGTTTTCGCGGCACCGGGGTCCAGTTCCACTAGGATCCAAGCACACAAGTACCAGAGGTCCTTCACTCACCGACACTTGCAATACGGAGCGCTCGTCATTCGGCCATCATGGACGGCCATGCCGTCGCAGAGCCCGCCGCCGGCGCCCCGATTCCCGCTGATCACGGCGCACACGGGATTGCCGGTGACGCCTCGGCCGCCGACCCCTCCGCATCCGTCATCAAGAGGAGATCCCCGATTGCCTGTCGCCGGTAGGATCACTGATGTCACTGATGCAATTGATGCCGTGTTGCTGACCACCATGGTAGATGTCGTCGCATGAGAAGCAAGTGTATCCATGACTGCGCCCAGCCTCCTTGCAAGGCCTGTCTTGAAGCCGGACTCGGCGCCGAAGACTGGTAAGTTGCCTGAATGTTCAAAGACAATCCCGTTGACTCGCGTTGGCAGCATCTTTCCCGTTCGAGGTCAGCCAGATCACGATCGCGAGTTCCGGCATCCCCGCGTAAGAGCCGAGAAGACGGCCCGGCGGGACCCCGCCAAGGTGCGACGCGAGATCCTTGATGCTCCTGTGCGACCTCTAGGCAAGCCCAGCGATGAGTGGGAGCGATTACCTCCGTTGCCAGACATTATCGACGGTGTCAATCGCTTCACTCAACACTACTTTCAGCTCGGCTTCATCCCCAAGCAGCAGTTTCCCGATCGTCTGCTCAAGGACTATCGCTCAGTGAGCGTCTTTCTCGTCGTTAGCATCCTTAGCATCTCGGCTCGTCTGAGTCCTTCCCTCGCCACCCGTTATGGCTCGGGTATGAAGGCGGCAGAGTTCTTCATGGAGCGTGCCACCAACCTTGCCTATGGTGAGCTCTACCAAGAGCCCACGTTGGAGAGGTGCCAGGCGTTTTACTTGCTAAGCATTGCGCAACAGGGAAGTGGCCTAAGAAATAAGAGTTATGTGAGTGAAGTGAAAGTTTCGTCAGTGTTCACTACTAATGTAACAGATTAATATGGGCGTTTCTATGCGGATGGCATCTTTGATGCGACTACATCGAGAGGAGACGTATCGTGTTCAAAACCCCAGTCCAGAGGTCATTATCAGGTCCGAATCAGCCCGAAGAACTCTGGTATGTCAACCCGAGCGGAAGCAAGCCTCAAGCATCTTACTGAACATAGGTAGTGGATGCTACATAGCCAGGATCAGTTACACTCAGGCCCATACTCACCAGTATCCCTTGCCGCCTCGGACATCACAGCCCTTCTCCCTTGCGACGAACACGACTTTGCTATCGGGAGAGAACCCCCCTCACGGGCTGCTGTTGAGGGAACACCTCCTGCAATTGAGAACCCGGCTCTCATTTTTGACCCTAACCGCTCTCTTTTTGCTTCACTGATCCAGGCCCATCACTTCTGGGGGATCGTCAGCCGCCGAGCCGTCAAATTTGCCCGAAGTTCTCGTCCTTGGGAGGCAAATAGCGAGTTTGCCTGTGTTGTGAAGAAGCTACATGAATGGGAGAATGCGCTACCTCAGGGCCATCTCTGGAGCGCTCATACGTTAAAGAAGTACAAGGCCGACGGCCAGGATCTGGTAAGACCTTTGCCCAGTTTGAAGTCAACTGCTGACTTGGCAGGCATACCTTGGGGTGACAATGGTGCCTCGTCTATGCAATATTGTCCTTCGTCGACCATATCTGATGGAGTAGGTTTTTGTGTGCGCTTGTCAACTCAGTACTAACTTTGGTAGCATGTTAACCGTCACTTCCAAGGACGAACAGCGGCAGCATTTCTTTGCCAATATTGCATATGAACTCTTTCTCAACGTTCGGCGCCTCTTTGAGCAGATTGATGCTCAGTTCACCGGCCGCTCGCCAGACGAGAGTGTTGGGGCGCAGATGGCTGCCTTTTGTGTTTACAGCTGTGGTCTATTCTCAACATACCTCTGCCGATACCCTCATAGTGAGACTCCCATCTTAGATTATCCCTGACGGCTTCTAACCATTCAGTCTGCCCGGATCTCAACATCAGCCGTGAAGGTCCCATGATGCTTCAGCGTACCCTCTCGATCCTGATGGAGTGCAAGGAAGTCTGGCCTCTTGCATCTCGCTGGGTTGAGGCTCTTGAGCGGTTTGCTCGAGATCCCACCGGTTCCCTCACGACAGAGAGCGGGATGGCAGATGGAAAAGATCCTATTCCCAACCCTGTCGCCATTCCTATTGCTGTCCCTTCCTCGGCCAACTCGGTCTCATCTAGTACATCACCTACTTCTTCCATATACGCTCAGCCAGGGGCCCCTCTCAACACCATATCTCTCCGATCCCCCTCCTCGAATGAAATATTGACGCCTTTACCTACGCCAACTACTCATATTATACCCTCCCACTTTCCTCCGCATTCTCAACGGCAAGCTCAATCGCACCAGCACCAGCAACAGCACCAACAGCGGCATCAACAGCAGCAGCAACAACCTCAGCCATCTCCTATAGCCGACCCTCAATCATTCACACCACAACAGATTCACTCTCAAATGTATATGCACACCGACAACTCGACAGGCCTCGGCATGCTCATGGAACCGTTTGACTCTCAAACCGCCCTCCAAGGATACACAATGGCCCCAAATGGCCATCCTGCCCAAGCAGCTGCCATCGCCGCATCTGTGACACCAGCGCCATTCTACCCTTCAGCAGACGGTTACGAAGGCGAACTGCAATTCTATATCAACGGACCCCAGGATTGGATGCCGACAGACGGTGTGTTTGATGGGTATGGCTGACCGCTTACATGTCTAATTCGATCTGTCCGATATTCTTGTTTATTCTCTTACAATCTTGAGCGGCGCATGAACGACTGACTAATGGTCCGTCTGACCATGGGGAGGTGTTTTGATTTAGCACGGCGACTCAAAAAGGTGTTTGATGGGCGTCAAAGCCCGAATTACTGGTGTGATTGTTTACATATTGCTCTTTTACACAAGTAGATACGATAGAGCCACGACTGTCAGAGACAGTGAAACGTTTCACAATGTCATCACTTTCTGCAAGGACTGCACTGGACTGCACGGCGTGCGTCAACGCTTTGCTGACTATTGACGGCTACATACGAGCTCACTTGATACTCTGTTTCCGACAACGTTTGGTTTCAACATCTCTTTTCGCTCAACTCTAAATGGTCCCCTACACGCTCCGGATTCGCATTCGCATTCGCATCGCATCGTTCGCTCCTCGAAAATCCCACCGAGCTCCTCACACGTGGGTATCCGAGTACGCCGTCTCCCGTCTTCCCAATCACTTGAAAGGGAACAAGACCGACTCCATGGGGCCAAAAAAGCCAAAACAAAAGACAAAAAGAACCGACCGCCTTGACTCCCCTATCCTCTACATGAATTTTGGGTCGCCACCGCTTTTCATCCGCGCAGGGCATACATGACTTCTCTATTCCTTCGTTGCATCTGATAAAAAATGGAATTGTGATGTGTAATGTGTAGTGTAATGGGGGCTGGGTTGGGCAAGGGAAATACATCGGGTAACGATGATATGTCAGGTGAAGCGTCATGATGGGGTATTTGGATTATTGTAGTGTCATATGGGGTCTATATACATGCAAGGGTCGTGGGGATCGTGTTATGAGGGGGGAAGGGAAGGGGATATCTTTATTTTGGGCCGGCCAAGGCTGCCGGCGTCGCCGTCATCGTGCTTGAATCAGTTCTGGGCCATAACGGTCTGTGTACCGCCCAGCTGACGCTTGACCTGCTCGCGAGCCCAGCGCGCGGTCTCGATAGTCCGAGGCTGGAACTCCCGGTTGGTCTTGGTCTCCTTGATCATAGCTGAGATCCAGTCCTGTCGGAAAGCCTCAACCAGTTCACCGTTAGGGTAGGCATCGGCAAGGTCACTGTTTATGTTAGCTGGGTCCAATCGAGCGAGTCAGGGGAAACTTACCCAATGACACCCATAGCAGCCCGCATGAGCGACTCGCTACGGTTCATATCGTTGGCAATAAGGCTCAGGAGCTGGAAGATGGCGGGGACATATTGCTGCAGAGCTTGGGCTAGAGGGGGTTAGCACTGGCTTGAGACCGGTAGGGGAGTGAACATACTCTTCTGGCTGACCTTCATGGCACCAATAATGCCACCCCAGGCATCCATAATGCCCTCACGGAGAGAAATGACGTAGTCGAACATCTCGTAAGGGCCCTCAGGCGAAGCAGTAACAGTGGAAGCCTGCTCCAGAACCTGGGCAACCACGGACAGGTAGGTCTCGAAGTGGCCAGTAATGGCACCAGCAATGTCACCAAAGCACTGCAGGATAGCAGGCTTGAACTGGTTGGCAAGGGTGGTGCTCTGTAATTTGTTAGCCATGAAACCTGAGAATACTTGAGTGAACGAGACTTACCCTGAGGTTGTTGAGAAGATAGTTCATAAAGTTATCGCAGTAAGGCTGGCTGCGCTCGCCCAGGGAACGGGTAATATCGCTGACCAGACCGATAGCCATAGAGCAGAGACTAGGCTCGTCCTGGTTGCCAAGGGCGTTGTACAGGAAGGGAGCAAAGGCATCCATGTACTTGATGAAGTCCTCCTCCATGGAGGTGGAGAGGGCGCTGATGGTGGCAAAGACAGCGTCAGGAACGCTCGACTTGCCGCCAACGCTGTTGAGGATCTGCAGAAGAATCTGCATGATGCGGTCGCCCTGAGGAATGATCTCCTTGTCGAGGCGAGAGATGATGGCCTGAAGAACGGTGCACAGACTGTTCTGCATCTCCTCAAGGGTGATCTTGTCCTCGACGCTGACGACCTGGTTCTGCAGAGGCACAGTCTCCTCAAGTCGCTTGATGATGACGTCCGAGAGCGAGGCAATAGGCTGCAGGCTTTCGGAAGCAGCGTTCTGCACAAAGACGTTGAGGACCTCATAGGCGGCAGTTCGAACCGAGGTCTCAGCATCCGTACGGGCAGTCACGTCGAGCAGGGAGCTGACGGCCTGGTTGAAGTGAGGAGTAATGGGGTTGGCAGCAGCGCCGAGATCGCCGGCAAAGCGCTCAGCCAGGTTCATCAGGGCCCAGCAGCAAGAAGGAGCCATCTTGGCATTGCTGAGAAGACCCTTGAACAGAGACTCAATCAAGGTAGGAAGCTGAGTCTGGGGGTCAATAGCCTCAGAGCAGGCCTCGGTGATTCGGCCGAGGGCGTAAGCAGTCGAGTCCTTGACATGCAGGGACTGGTCCTCCATCATGCTGATGAGGATGGGGAGAGCCTGCTTGACGATGGGGTCCAGAGTCTTCTCATCGGGACCCTCCATGATGGCACCAAAGGCCGACACAGCGGCGTCTCGGTTGTGCCAGTCCTCATGGCGGAGGTTGCTCTCGACAAACTGCAGCACAGGGGCGATGATGGTAGCACCAACGGCCTGGGCGTACAGCTGCAAGCACTGATAGGCTGCGCGCGACAGGTTGTACTCGTCGTCGGTGGCGTCTTCATCCTGCTTCGTAAGGAGGGTGAGGAGAACTGGCACCACCTCGTTGGCAGCAACACGGGCAAAGTTGTAAAAGGGGCGCATCTGGTCGGAGCTCTCGACCTGGGCGTTGTCGTCCTCGATGGAGATCTCCTCCTCGCAGACGGTGCTCCAGAACTCGACAGCCAGCTTGGCGACATCCTCATCCTCGGACTTCATACCGAGAATGGTGAGACCGAACAGAGCCTTCTCCATGTAGAAGCGCATGTTCTCGTAGTAAAGAGCCATGATTCGGTTGAGGCAGCCAAAGGCACCCTGCTGTATCCGCGAATCCTCGGCCTGGGTGGCCTCGCAAACGACCTGCATAATGTAGTTCCGCTCACCCTCATGCTTGAAGTTGTTGCCGACAAACTCGAGCGAGTCACCAAGGGCGGTGATGGCGGCAAGACGAACCTCGCCGTTTGCTTCCTCCTTTCGGGCACCCTGAACAACAGCGGTCAAGATAGCGTTCGAGTGCGACACTAGGGCCATGCGGAGCTCCGAGTCTTGGCTTTCGCAGATGTAACCGATGGTGGTGAGAGAAGCCTGCTTCTGGTGGTCGGCACCCTCGCTGACATTCTTGACCAGGAAGGGCAAAAGGTCGCTCCACTGGCCACGAGGCAGCTCGATGGCGGCGATGGATGAAATGACCTGGGCGGCAGCAGTACCAGCCTGTGTGTTTGAGGAGCTCAGGGTCTGGAGGGTCAGCTCCTTGACCCGGTTCTTGGTATCGTCATCAGTCTGCTGCAGCCATTTTGCTTGCAGTTCTTGATGCCGAGTGAAATCTCGGGTTGTGAAGGCGTTCTTCAGAGCAATACCGGCGGCAGCTCGGATGGAGCCATCGGCAGAGTCGTTGGCAAGTTCTTGGACGAGGGTTGCGAGGTATAGGGGCTAGCAGAGCGTCAGCCAAGTTCAGAGCAATCAAGAGTCAGGGGCGCCGTACAAAGTTGCTCTCGGCAGCCTGGGTGAGTTGCTGCTCAGCAGCATTTCGGAGGTTCGCGTCTGGAAAAAGTCAGTACACATTTCATGGCCGTCGTCCGATAATCCGCCGCTCGAGGCGGTGCGGTGCGTCAATCGGCGGGGAAGGGAGCGGGAAGGAAAACTGACCAGGCGACAGCGAATTCGCGAGCACCTGGTTTATCTCTGAGCTCGACATTTTGGGCTGTCTAGAAACGTCTCGTCATGCGGTTTCAAGAGGCGTCGAGGGCGAGCGAGGCGCAGAGGGTGGTAAAGGCTGGAGAGGAGGGAGAAGAGAGCCTTTGGTTTGGCGCACGTGTCGACAAGTTTGACGGATGGAAGAGAACTGGATGAGGCGGAGAGGCGGGGGTTTTTTCCCACGACGGGGGGCTCAGGCCAGGAGAGGAAAAGAACGGGTATGAGGGTCCCCCAAGGGTCGGCGAAAAATGATTAAGGGTCAAACGAATCTCGCAGCCAAAAATGTCGTTGTGATTGTCCGTCTCTGGCGGGTGAGGACGAGATGATGCTGAATGGCAAAAAGGCAGGGTGCCGAGAGGGAGGGACAAAGAAGTTGAGAGTTGCAGAAGGTGAAGAAAATTGTTGTTGTGGTAGAGGCCTTTAGAGAAGTTGATGGATGGATGGCAACTGCAACTGCAGCGACCACAGCGGCCCGCACCTGGGTACCTACCTCGCCCGCTACCGCCACTTGGTCTAGCACTGTGACGCACTGTGCACCGTGCTG